GACTCATGGAAATTAGGCTGTCTTAATTAATAACAATGCATCCACCTAACTAATCTCCCTGCGTTGTAAAGCCTGTCCTTCCCATTAAACGGGACATGCATTATCCCTGATCAAATTAAAGTTATTTAATTTGTGTTCAGCCTCAATCAAAAAAAAGAAAGTTTGCCTAACGGGGAAGGATATAAATGGAGTATGGCTGAAGGAATTATATTTTACAATTAGAGTATATGAACGGGGGCACTGGTCATTGTGTGTGAGGCTGACGGTTTGATCTGTAGCAGGACAATGAGTTCACCTACGTGTGTTTGTGTGTGGGAGCTCTTGCGTAGCTCTGGGGACGAGGCTCTATCGCGACTTAAACCAGTGGCTTCAGAGTCAGTGTGCGGGACCCCCTGTGGTGGCATTTTGGACAGGGCCGCAGGCGAGCCGCCTCACCCCTCTGCGCAGAGGCCATGAGTGATTCCTCAGCCGCTGATGAATGGTGCCACCACTGGATCATTTGTCCCTGTGAGTCGGCCGCTGCCCTTTGGGAGGAAGAATAAAATAAAGAAAGCCGGAGTCGGGGCGTGACGGATCCCTGAACGGTAACGGAATAAGTGGCTGGCGGCGCGCGGTCAGTGGACCGCCGTCTCTAATTGGACGTGCTTGGAGACTTCAGGGGGGTGGTGATCAGACCGGCGGAGGGACCTGAGCAAACACAGCTGCGGATAAAGCAACAGTTAAAAGAACAAGGAGATGGATGAAATTGTGGTTGTGTTTGCAGTCTTGTTCTTCATGTATGAAAAAAATGGAAGTGTCTAGAAATATCTGTATTTAATGCCAGGTCCGAAATAAGATAACCAACCGTACAGCTCCTGCAGTTCTTTTTCTCTAGTCAAGTTTCCAATGCAAAGAGATTACATTACATTTGTAAATAAAAACTAATCGTTAATACTCATTAATATTTCTGAAAACAAGCATCACACTATTGATTGGTTATGTTAGCAGTTCTGAGCCTCAGTTCTGCTGCCCTTCTGCTTGCTGAGTTTTGTGTCTGCTCAGTTGTAGAATAATTATCAGTGACATAGATGTTCCCATATGATTCAGATGAAGTCACGCTTGTTGCTACATGAGAACTGTGTAATTTATCGATCATGTTAAACTCTACTGGTATGTTTGTTCTAATGAAACATCTGGCCTTTATTTGATGAAGTACAGAATGTTTATCTTAAGATTAATGGAGTCAAGTACTAATGAACATGAAGTACTAATGCTAGGGACTAACATCGGTTAAGAAAGTTTTAAGTACACAGATGTATTTGTTTATATAATTAAGCTTATGTCCTTAATTATTGTCTCCATTTGCAATAACTGTATGTAGTATGTGCAGTATGTAGTTGACATTTCACCATTACGGGGATTTCTGGACTAATATAAATTTTATCTCATAATTTCAAGTTAGACGTTCAGAGTAATTTCAAGCATGATTCAGTACATACGTTAGTAATGTAATAGACTTGTTTTATAGCTGAGACAAAGGAATAGAACACTGGTGTTATCACAAGTAATCATTTTATCTGTGTGCAGCACTTTGGTAAAAAATTATTTTGTGTTTATGAGTCAACTTGCAATGAAGTTTTAATCAGGCCTGATTTCTTTCAGTGTGACCTTAAGTGAGCTGGGTGCATGTAGAAATATCCACACTTAGCGATGTGACTGGCAATGTGATTACCTTATGGTGACCTTTGGGTTTCTGGCAGAGCCTGATTGTTGAACGGAGGTGAGTCAGGAGGGCCGAAGCGCAGCCATGGGGGTGACAGTCCTGCTCACTGCTGCTCTGTCCCTGAATGTATTCTGACCAGTTTTTAATATCGCCAGAGGGCTATAGGACTGGCGGGTTTGTCTTTATGCAGCAGAAGAGAAAATCATATTAACTGCTAGCAGGAAGTAGGGGGCAGTTTTCATGAAAAAGAAACAATATCACTGTGTTTGGTGTGTCTTGCAGGCATCGAAGAAAGAAAGTGTCGTCATAACTTGGTGTGACTTTACAATAAAAAGTCTGCTACCAATGAAACTTTCTGTCCTTTTGTTTTTGTGCACCTTGGTCCTGGAGGAACAATGTTTCATTTCACTGTATACTGTGTATGTGGCTGAAATGACAATTAAACCTACTTGACTTGACTTGACTTCTTTTAAAACAATTTGCTCAATATAACTGGATTTTTTGTGTGTTTCTTCCTGTTTCAGGAAGGGCAGTGGTTGTGCTTGAGAAACTTAATTCAATTCAATTCTTTTATTGTCATGTGTACAAGTACGAGTACCGTGTACAATGAAATGCTTGCTTCCATGTGCTCCTGCAGACAGTGAACATAGACAACAAGACGGCTAGACAACAGGACGACAAATGAATGTAATGATGAAGTGAATTACTGTATAAATAAGTAATAAATAAGACCAGAATCCCATGAATAAATAGAGAAATTTAGTTCTGTTTATTTAAATAGAGAAAAACTAGTGATTGTTTAATAGCGGTGGTGATTACGCATGAATTGACTGATGCACATTTGGCTGGTTGACTTTCAAGTTCAATCTAGTTACAAGTAACTTAGGTTGATGATGATTGTGATCTCTGCTTTGCTGGTGTGGGCTGCTTTAGTCATACACTACCAGTCAAAAGCTTTTACACACCACAGGGTTTTACCACTTCTCCATTTATTTCATAAACTGCAGATTTTTTTATTCTGGGAAAGCACTGGAAAGTTGAGTGAAGAACTATTAATGAAAATATTAGTCAAATAAAGCAAGTTTCCTTTATAAGATGGAAAGAGTATGTAACAGTGCATCTATGACAACGTATTAACTGGTTGTGTGGTGATGGCATAGTCAGATTCTAGGCTGTCCTTTAAATGCACAATTTAACTGTTTCATCCCACGAAACAGAGCAGTATTTAATGTCCCTTGTATAAAGAATGCCTTGAATTTTCTCAGCTTTTATAACCACTAAAGGAGGTGACTTCGATGAGTCAATGATATGACATTTTCTTGCTAATAAAGGTCCTCAAATGGTGAACATACTATAAATTTATTTGTTAGCAAAGAATACTGAGCGTATTTTCGTAAATGTTAAGTAACATGCAAATGTAGAAAATCTCAGTGTGTGCAAAACCTTGTGACTGGTAGTGTGATCTGTGATGTGATTACTAGAACATATCTGATGGGATACACAGGAGGGCATACCTGTGATTCAGTGTTTAGGACATACATGTCATGTGGTACGTAGGACATTCCTGTCATGTGGTATGTAGGACATTCCTGTCATGTGGTATGTAGGACATTCCTGTCATGTGGTACATCAGACATCGCTGTTGTCTTTCATTTTAGCACTGTGACCTAAAGGGAATATTAGTATTTATTAGTTTACTAGTGAAAGCCTCTTAAATAAAAATCACTTATTCCATGGCGATTTTCTCAATCTAGCAATGAATACCATGCTTACTTTTCAAAGGCAGAAGGTAAACCTGTCTGCTGGTAACATGTAAGTCATGTAAGACTGATAGCGTTCAGCCAGTGGAACAGTTTGAGCTCATGAAATGAGTCTGGCATTAATGAGATTAAGGAGATTTGCTTCAGAAAAGTGTGAAAATGAGAAGCAGGCAGCCTGACTGATGTACTGCTCAATCACTCTGCTGTGCCCTTTGCAGAACTTCCACAGCAATACACAGAATTAATGCTTACAGGACCACCACATGCTTTTGTCCAATAGGAAAAACAAAGCCAAGATTTCGCAGCTTCTCACAGCCACCCCAAAGTGTGTCTCTCATTTTTAAATCTCAGTCACACACTAAGAAAGGAACACTATTTGCTGGGAATTAGATACCATGTTTACTTCATGTTTGTAGCTGACTGATGGCCATGCATTGTGTTATTTTGGACTGTTATTCATCTCACAAATACGCAGATATTAAGGCAGTGACTTTCATAAGTGTCTCCCTTCCATGGCTTCTCTTCCTGGGGGTGTGTAATCCACTCTGGCTTCACAGTGTGTCCCTTTTTGAAGCTGGTGCGGAGAGCGCGGTCAAGGTAATCTCCGCTTGGAAGGAAAGCCATTTACGGAGGGAGACGGAGGAGAAGGTCCTGTGTAAAGTAGAAGAGAGCGCTTCGGCGAGCCCTGATAAGGCACAAGAGATTTTGTTGCCTGTTTTTTTTTTTTTCCCGGGCGGCACGGCGGGGTCTGTCACTGGCGCAGTCAGGAGAGACACAGTTCGCCCGAGAGTGTGTTGATCAACAGATTGTTCACGTTGATGATGTAGGGTGGCGGCACTCGATTGTGACATGGACTGGGGGATCGGAGATGGAGCAATCTGACGGAGCAGCTGAAGTGACAGAAGCCACATTAATACAGGCATATGCCTGGAACAGAGCGGGCGAAGGGAAAACACTCGCTGTATCAGCCAGTCGCCGTAGAGCGATGGAGAAAATACAGTCAGGGTGCCAGCAATTACTTCAGTGCCAGGGGGACAGTTCCTGCTTATTTGCAGCATTACGGCATTAGGCAGTTTCTATATGGGGGCTGAGAGAAGGAGTCAGGGGGGGGTTTAGATATACAGGGTACATTTCATTCCCCATTCTAAGCGCCACAGTGTAAGGGTTACACTCTCATTAGTACAATATCTAGATGGAAATACATGTGTTTTAACAAGGGACTGGTGCTATCTCAGGAAAGAAAGAGGTATGTAAAAATGGAGGAGATGAGGGTACCGGTGGCCGCTGTTCAAACACAGGCTTGTCAGAAACGAACGCACACTGGTGCGCTTTTTTTTCTTTTTTTTTACTCCTTAAGACAGCCCACCCTATCTATCCCTTCCTTTTTTCATCCTGTTCTTTTTTCCTTCCTTTCAGGATTTCTTTCTTTATTTATTTGGTCTTGTTTAGTACACGCGTTGGCTGTTTCCCTCCCTCTCTTTCTCTTCGGATTCACAGCAGTATTTTTTTCTTTTTCTATTTTTTTGTCTCGTGTGCAGGTCGATCAAGCAGAGTGACCACCGCCGCTCCGGCCCGCGTCACCCCCCTGTGAGTACCCTTACGTTAATCCGGCCGCTCTCTCGCTTGCACTCTTTCTCCGCACCTTTCTCTCGCCTTCCATCCCACTCCGCCTTTGCCCGGGTCGCCTTTCCTCATTTTATCTATTTTTTGCTTGTCTTGTTGTTACGCGTGCGGTTCGCGGCGCGATGGAACGCGACGGCGAAAGTGAGCGCGAGGAGCGGAAAGGAACGGAGAGGAGAGCTGTCCGATCCGGCTCGGCGCGCGCCGGTGCTAGCGGCTCGGGGAGCGCGCGTGTGCGCGTACCCGTGCGTGCGCGTGTGTGTGGGGGGGTGCTGCTTCATGCACGGGAGCGGAGCCTCTCTCCCCCAGTAGCGATGCTGTGCTTTTGACAGTATAATGAGCTCTTGAGTGACTGGTGTGTTAGACAGCTGGACAGCTGAAAAACAGGGTACCATTCCCGGGGGCTATCCTTACAAGTTTTCTTCTTGCGATTTTCTGCTCATTGATAGACAATCAGCAACTAATTCCATCCCGTGTGTTTATCTTTTTTCAGATTTAGGTGTATGCAGGGCCGGACTGGCCATCTGGCGTACCGGGCAATGCCCAGTGGGCCGACGCACATTTTTGGGCCGGCCCGGGGCTGTCATAATTTACCCCAAAAAGTATATTATAAATAATGTTTATCGACCGCGACGTCCCATTGGTTGATTTTCTTGAAGGACATTGGGCTAATCCAATGAAATCTCTCAGCCCTCCTCGGCCCGCCCCTCCGTCCCCTTTTTAGGCAAGATTATAAAATTTTGCCATTTGAGCTGACCGGAGTTGGAGAGGAGTGGCTATGGACAAAGTAAAAAAGCACAAGGGGAGCGCAGAAAAGCTCAGAGAAAAAAGGCAAAAAAGCCTTCAAGTGGATGCAGCAAAATGCGCAAAACTTACCGATATGTTTGCCACCACAAGTTCTACTGCTGCAGCAGCTGGTGCAGGGCCGGAGGAGGAGGATGAGGAAAGAGACGTGGTCCAGGGAAAGATTGAGGAAGAGGTCAGATTAGCTACTGTCCAGCCCGGTAAAAAGTAGCCTAAATGTTAATGAAGAGGGGCGTTTCATGTAGGGAATGCAAAGGGCTGGAGTGTGTGTGTGTGTGTGAATGTGTGTGAGAGAGTGAGAGAGAGAGCAAGTAAGGGGGGGGGGTTGCCTACACGTAAGCTTGCACACAGAGTTAACAATGACAATGTTTTGGGTTGTGTGTAATAATGATGGTGAATTAAAACAGAAAACGTAAAATTAAAAAAAAGTTAGAAGAGTATACTGTGGCGATGGGCGGAACGAGGCATCGCGGGAGCAGAGAGAGAGACGGACACTTGCTTACCGGGGAGAACACGCTCTTTATTGCTAGTCCTGAAAAAGACTACATCAGGCACCCAACGAGCACCGAAACGATTGCGTGTGAGAAACACAGGGTTGTCAGAAGCTAATTACACACGAGGATCAGACAGGGTACACGCAAGACACTGGCAAACACACGCGCGACAATAAGGAATATAACCATTAACAATAACAACAACAATACAAGGGCTATTTACAACTTGCACGCGGGCATGCTGGGACATGCGCCCCGCCGATGCTACAATACAATTTTAAAATGATAAAAAATTATTAGAGACACATCTTCACTAAATAGTATCTGGGCCAAAAGTGTGCAAATGCTCAACATAAAAACTTATTGCAAGATTTATTTTATTCAGTCAGACTTAAAACATGCATAATAATATTAGCCTATAGAGTTATGTGTCATTTGTGTACAAAACTACAGTTATGTGCACAAACCGTGTGTGCATGAGAGAGAGAATTGCCTTTATAGCCTTCATTTTTAAATAATGCTATGAGTAGATTTGGTGTCCAACTTAGTGGTATTTTAGCCATAAAGTTACAGTTTGCAGCTGTTACAGCGTACAGTTAATATTATCATGTAATATTAATAAAACTTTGCTTTGCTGAAATGGATGATTTATCATTGATAAGTAACCAGAGAAATAACACTAGTGAAATTAACATTCCTGAAAATAATCCAATAAGGTCAGTACTGCTTTCAATACTGCTAAGCTATCTAATGCTAATGCTAAAAATAAGAGTAAGAAAAGTGATTTTTTTCAGGGTTGCCAACTCTTACGCATCTGGCGTGACACTCATTCAGACTCTAACACTCACACAAGAAATCTTGCGTCAAATCTATATTATTCCATTATAAACCTAAAGTTAGCTACATCAAAAGCGTTGGAGTAGTTTGCAAACCCTACGGACTTGTTTACAACATAATAAAACTGTTACGTACACGCAAATGTGTGTGCAGATTTGTCTCTAATTGAAAATCTCACGCCAGCCTGGTGACCAAAGTTGGAAGTGTTTTGTGAACAAAAGGGGTTTTAAAAAGATATACAGCATACATAGCTGTGTCTTTCTCCGGAAGCCCAAACTCCTGTGCCTGGTTGCTGAATAGCAGAGAAGTCTTGCAGGGCTAATGACCAGACGGCAATTAGTGACAGCACTCATTTATTGGCAGAGGTTATTTTATTTTAGCAGTTATTTATAAGGTGGGCCTGTGTCACTGAGACATACCAACAGTAATACTACACCTGTAATCAATAACTGGTGGCTTTAGCGCCTCAGGGCATCTTGGATTGTCACCTCAAATGTTACCATGTAGATGTATACAGTTTATAATGTGTGCCACTACAGACATGGCTGTTAGGGGGTGACAGTCCTGTCGCTGCTGAAGTATTTGTCGAGATTTGGGTTGGGGGGAATGCTTATGTCAATTAATCTTTAAAAGTGTGCTTGTTAATTGAGCGTGCCCTGTCAGAAGTGATGCCTCCCTCAGCAATTCAATGGAATAAAATGAGAAAGGAGTAAAATTTTAGCAGGAAATTTGCAACTCATTTCTTGAAGAGCAGGGAACTTGGAAATATCACCACGCAAAGAACGTGCTAACAGATGTCTTTAATCGTCTAAACTTTAAGCAGATTTTCCTCCTGAAAATCTGTTTTTTCCCTCTTTATCTGTGTGTCACATATTATAATCTGAGTTTATTCAAATGATGAGCTACTTCAATTTGTAAAATTCAGCTGTCTGTCTAGTTCATAGCTCATAATATTTGAATTCATTACATAAGTGAATGATTCGGTGGGGGAAAAAAAAACATAAAAAAATATTTCATGTGAAATATAACATTGCTTTTAACACCTCATCGTAAATCCCCTGACAGACACTACGCAAGGAGTTGAATTAATTGAGAGCAATGGTTATTAGCTTAATTGCACAGGCTTCAGACAATAGGGAATGCATCACCGGGTCAAACGTGCAGTAACCTTTGTTTGATCCTGTTCATATTCTAACCGATAAGTATAATAGAACATGTTCTCAGTATGTGGTGGAACTCACTGCTGATGACTGTGATCTAGGTCATACACAGTGTCTATTTCAAAAGTGCTGCAATTTTATCTGCTATAATATGCGCATATAAGAAAGAGGCTGTCCCATGGACCTTTCAGTTTAATGTGCTTCGTGAAACAACGTAAGTCAGATTCCAGTCGCAGTCACAGTTTTCTGCTGTTGACTTTATCACTGCACACTGTTGGTGTTTCTCCACAGCTGCTATAGGAGCTGCGTATCCACTGTCCTTAGCTGGCTGGGTAATTCAGTCGGCCTGACATTTCCATAGCCCAGTGACTGCAGCAAAACTGACCACCCAACCCCTTACTGCAGTCTATGGTAATAGAAGCCTTTGTACCATTGCTAAATTGACTATATTACCTTCATTAAAAAAGCAGTTAAGCGTCCCCTTTTCAATACATCAGCGGTGGTGTTTGTTTCTAGCCTGCTGCATGTTAAATCCAAGCAAGCTACAAAACAGAGAGAGGACTCCGCCATCAATGTCGGTCTTCATTGCAGGTGAGCTCCATATTTAGGTGGGTCGTGACCACTGGAGATGTGGCCACATCTGGCCCAGTAAGAGATGCTTCTGAGTTTACAGCATCACCGGTGAATCCTCCCAGATGCTGGGAAATCAAACAGGGCGATGTTATTTCCAGTAAATGTAACGATAGACTTGGTGCCGGTTTGTGAAGCCCGTCCACGGTGCTGTGCTCCCCGCTACAGACGATAGGTCAGACGCTTTGCGATTGCCAGATAAACGCAGTTTATCGCGTCGCCTTTGCATGGCCATGAAGTTCTACAAGGACTGAAAGGATGGAGCATCCTATTATTAATTAAAAGATTTCAAATATAATCCGACCGCTAAATACAAGCTTAACATCAAGCACGAAGGAATATACAGCAGATCGACGTATGGTGATAAGGCATGCCTGTGTCGCTTTAATTAAGGCAGATGGCGGTGTCCCACACGCTGTTCTCTTCAGGCCAACTTAATCAACGCACAAAACTCTGGGTTTTGAATTTCTGGAATAAAGATCTTAGTTCAGCAAAGGCTTAAAGGGAACCTTAAAGAGAATGTGAAGAGTTCATCTGCGAATAAAGCTGATTTGAGCCTGGCATCCGCCGGAAATAATCTGTCATAAAAACGTCTCTGCTCTTGTACGTGCCTTTACCTGGAAAGGTTGATGCAGGTGAGATATCTTTTGATCTTCGATTTATTCCTTGTGCTGCCAGATTTGCCTGCACAGAGTGTTTCTTTTTAAGTTTGTTTATAAACTGTACTTTAAAATATGACACAAAACTTTTATTTTTTTTCTGACTGAATTGGAGATGTTTGTGTGTGGTGGACCTGGAGAAGATAACTACTAAAACGGTGCTCCTGCTGGGTGAAGGGCAGCTGAGTAGAAATGCACTGTCTGTTCCGGAGCCCCAGGACCACTTTGGGTCATTCATCTGCTCCCCTGGCCCTTTATTCCCTTTTTCTTTCTCGACGCTGCTCTTGACATTTGCTCCCAACCCCTGCTCAGGTACACTACAGCAATCGCACCATTATGGGGCTGAGCATTCAAATTGCTCCATGAATAAGATCAGCAAAGTT